GAGCTCATTTGTGTTTAGAACAATATATACTAATTTTTAAAGTATCAAATTGAATTTTTGTTCAATAAAAATCTTTCAAGTGTGACTGTAGCTTTTTTCCCCAAAACTTTGTCTTCAAAATAAGGGTGTGTGTCTTATATTCCGAAAAATACGGTATTATTACTATTACTACTAGTACTAATAGTAGTAATACTACTGATAATTAATATTACAAGTGTTATAACTTAGTACTGCACTTATTAGGTTTATCATGCATAACATATTCTTCTGATATTGAGATTGATTCCTAAGCATAAAAACTTCTTATAGTTATACTTTTTACAGGTATATATGAAATTTTTAGCATATTTTTGAAAACATAGATTTAAACCTATTTATGATTTTTATTACTATACTCCATAAAAATTGAATACCTGTGACTATTGTTGCCACCTTTTCATTTCATTTTCAGTAAATCCTGACACCTCTACCCCGGAGTCTCCTTGCTCTAAAAGATTATCTTCCTAACTCACAGATCTGGATTTTTTACAAGCACATTATTTTTAAGACAAAAATATTTCAATTTCTGAGAAAAATGTAACTTGCAAAAAATACCAGTACTTTATTTTTGTTATATACACTTATAAGAAAAGCATGTAAAATATATCTTTTTCCATGCAACTTATTTTCTCCATAGGATAAAAAAAGAAATTACAGTGTAACTATGGTGCTACAATGTACAAACACTCAAACATATATATTTTATCATCCATATTCTTAAATCCAGATCAATGTTGTAGGCACTATTATTATAAACCCTGCAAGCCTTCATGACAGAATTGTTTCAAAGACTGATTATAAAATTTAAACTTATGACTGAAAGCAAGTTCATATTAAAGCCTCTCCAAGGAATAAAGATCAGTGAGGCTTTTTAAATGACTGTAAATTTTCAGTGAAACTAAAGAGAATGTACAATGCATACCCCATGGCAGCTAATGTCAAACCATTAGCCAGGATATGTCAAAGGTAAACACCAGTTACATCATCAACTCCTGCATTACATCAATGACATAAAATTAAAATTAATGATAATTATGAGACTATTCCCTTGGTTTCTTTTGTTCCTGCTTCTCATCTTTCAATGTTTTATGATTCTTTATGACAGTATAATGATGTAAACAGTACTTCCACAAAGAATATTCAAAATAATTTCAAATTATTTAGTTATTTATTAACTATTCTTAAATGTTTACTTCTTTTTACTCTTAGCACACTTTAATAAATCATTGCAGGCAGTAGACTTACAAAGAATATTCTCATTGCCTTCTGGTGACTATGTGGTCAGTATGGGCCCAGTGGGAGCTCATCTCTTGAATTTCATCTGTGGGGACCTTTTTCTTACCGATGTATGGGTGCACAAGGTGATCTCGAAAGGAGACGTTATCCTCTTTCTCTCCCTCCATTATCCATGTTCCCATTCCCTTCCCTCCTCCTCAGGATCTTCAGGTCTTTGGATGATCAAGGTGGACATTTCCAATACTTACCTATACATTCCTTTGATGAAACATTTCCATCCATATTTTTGGCTTATCTATTAGGGGATTGTGTGCCAGTTTCACACATTACCTTTGGTATAACCTCAGCACCATACATGTTTTGTCAAATGGTCCACTCCTTTGCTCAACATATTCATGCCATTGGGTTGCACTTCCACGACTGGCTTCTTCTTTCTCATTCGAAACAGGAATTGGTCTATGACACTCGTCAGCTCCTGGCCAAAGCTCCATGGGTGGACTGGTTGGTTAAGTTGGAGTAGTCTTTCCTTTGTCTTACCCAATACCTTATGCATTTGGGTATTTTCTTCAACACCCATCTCAATCGGGCCCAACCTTCTCCTCTTTGGCTCCACTCTATGGAACAGGCTGTTCCTTCACTTACAGTTCACGAGGTTTTATCACTTTTGAAGATGTGATCCTCCATGACCCCTCTCATACCTCTGGGGAGGGCCCATATGTAGTTTCTTCAATGGGTCCTTCACAATCAATGGAACCTCATCAGGGATCCCTTGGATACTTCTATATCCCTTCCCTCATCCCTTGTAGATGATCGCCATTGGTGCTTGAACAGGGCCCACAGTGAGGGTCCCGCTTCCTCCTCCATGACCAGATTTATATCTGCTCATAGATGCATCCCTTCAGGGCTCGTGTGCCTGGGTGGATATCCAGGAGGTTTTGGGTTGTTGGTCTGTGGAGGAAAGTTCTTTTCACATCAATGTTCTCTAAATCCTGGCTGTTCATCGGGCTTTGGATTAATTTCTTTCTCTTGCCAGCTGCAGGCTAGTTATGATCCATCCTGACAATTCTATCAATCACCAAGGTGGCACTAGGTCCAGATCCCCATGTTTTTGCACTATGGATATTCTTTGGGCCCACATACATCACATTCGTTTGATGACGTGTCATGTACCAGGTGCTTTCAATCTCATAGCTGATCGTCTTTCTGACCAAATTGCATTTATACCACAGAGTGGTACCTACATCCTGCTGTTTTTCAGTGGTGCAGTTTTCATCTTGGTATGCCCCATATCAGTGCCTTTGTCACTGCCCTCAATCACAAATTGCTTTGGTTTTGGGCCCTGTTCCTCCATCCTTGGCTGTTGATGCCTTCAGCTGGGATTAGTTCCTTTATGTTTACCCTCTCATCTGTTTACTTCATTGGGTGGTCTCTCTCTTCCATGCCACTCCATGCATGGTCCTTCTGACTGCTCCTTGCTGGCCTGCTCAACCTTGGTTTCCTCAGTTATTCCAACTGCAGGTGGTCCCCCCCTTCCTCTTCCCTTACATCCTGACACCATCCATCCTCCATCTTCACACCTGGCTTTGTCAGGTCCTTGGCAGGTTTTTCTCACTGAGTAGCTTCACATTTAACCTGTTACATTCACCATTCTTCTTTGGCTGTCTATTAACATTGACTTGGGGTTTCAGGCTTCTCAACTAACAGTTGCCTATATCTCTCAGTTTCTCACATGGCTCTTTGAGAGGGGTTCATCGGTATCCTCAATTTCAGGGTTTTGGGTGGCGTTATCCTATACATTCCATTTTTCCCATTTCCGCAGGGTCTTTGCCTCCCCTCTCATTTCCACGTTGATCTTTTCCTTCAGGCTCCATTGGCCACTGAGGCATCCGTTGCTACTAGACTGGGACATTAATGTGATCCTTCATGTCATCACTTTACCTCTGTTTGAACCTCTATGTATGTTTAACCTGTTTCATCTTTCTTTGAAGGCATATTTCCTCCTCCTCCTGGCCTGCAGGCATCGTAGGTCAGATATTTTGCCCTCGATTTTACCAGGACCCTGTACTACTACTCCTATGTTATCCTTTATCTTAATTATGCTTTCCTTCTCAAGACCTCTGCGGCTTGAGAAGGTCAGTCCTCCTTTTTTCCTATCTGCCTATCATCTATATCACATCTCTACCCTCGTCCTGATCTGGATAGACTCCTCTGTCCTTTCCATGTCCTCCATTTTTATATTGTTCACACGGCTTCATTCCGGGGTTCTCTTTCCTACCTTTTTATCCCTTAGCAACCTTCCTCTTTCCATGATCATTCCCCTGTTACCCTGACCAGTTGGGTTTTGACATTTGATCCAGTTGGCCTATTCCTCCTTTTCTCCTTCCCAACATGATTTCTTTCATGTTTCCTCACATCAAATCTGTCACCTTACCTTCTCCCTTGCCTTCCATCTTCATCAGCCATTGGAAGAGATTCTACGATTGGGCATGTGGACGACTCCACAAACATTCATCTCCCACTACCTACATCACATTTCTGTTTCTGCTTCATTGGGGTATCGCCTACCACCTGTGGCTATTCTACAGAGTTTGGTGAGGCTGTGACATAAGGACTAATGCTTTCTTTTCTTTCAGGGGGCCCCTGCTTCAGCTTCATTTTGGATCCCACTCTGTGGCAAGTGGTGCCTGATCAGGTATTTTGTCTGTGCTCGGAATGGGTTCCACTTAGATGGCTATAACCATTTGCAGACATCTTGCTGTCAAATCTGCACTGTAAGTCATGTTGATTTTTCTAAATTTTCCATGGCTATGTACACTCACCCTTGAGATGGGGTGCTTCACAAGATCACTAGAATGTAAATGTTAGGATGGAAGAAAGAAAAAAAAGATTGTTATTAGTTGAGTGCAGTCAAACTGGACCTTTGGGACTAGTGAAGAGCCAGTGATTGGGTCATT